CCTCCTAGATCAATGGTACAGCGCTGGCTGCGCAAAAGCCTTCCCTGCTGTGTGGGTTCGGCTCCAAACGAGGCCACGAGTTCTTCCACAATTGAATCAATCGAATAAATTGAAATTACATAAGGATACCGGAAAGCATGGTGGAGTCTAATTATAGTAAGTAAGAGTTTGCATGAAACTGAAAATTTAGAGGCCGCGCATGGTGGACCGCTACGGTTTGCGTAAAAAACTGATTGGTGAGTCTCTCAGGAACCGGCTAAATAGTGTGTATGAGGCGTGGCTCGTCTAAGATAATGTGGCAATCCATAGCGCGCAGCATGCAGACGGGATCCCCATTAAAGATCAAGCCCAGTCGTAATGATTAGAGAAGTTCTATTTTACATTACTATAATGTTTGAACTGACGCCATTACTTTTTTTTGAATTTCCAGCACTCAGTTTTATCACGAACATGAAAAACTCTTCGGCGATGACCGCCCCTCTTTTGGGGTGCCCAGTGGACTATGGCCCAGTAGTGGATTTCTAGACCGTATATTGCCCACCTGCAAGTTAATAGGAGAAATCATGTGTACTGTGAACGATTCAGTAGCAATTCTCATGAAAATAACATTTTTTAAAGTCTATTGTGAAATAATTAAGATGTCACCCAACCTGTTCTTCACTTTCAGTCAGTATAGAAAATTCCAGGATATGGGCACTGGGAATGTGGATCCATCCTCGTACTACCGGTAGCCTTGCATTCAATTCTAGTGGGTGTCAGTATTAAGATTATGGGGGCTACTATGACGGCTAGGGTTTATGATAGAATACGGGAATTTATCGGAAGGTTATCTGTAGTACTGTGATGTCCACATTCTTATGTCAAACCAATGCAAGCTACCAGTTCCTTTCTTAAGCGAGGTTTATGAGTGACTGCAGGCAGCCTTAACGGAGATGAAGCTGGGTTTCGCAAACACAACTGCCCAGCAAATACAGAAACTGACAGAGACAGAGGAAGGACGAGGAAGAGAGAGACGTACCACGGTGATACCGTCAGCTTGTCCCCGGTCGACGGTGGCGAGGAATTAGAAGAAAGAGATCGACCAGATCGGCGACGGGGACTTATCATGCCATCCTCAGATGTCCGCTTAGAGTTCGGAGACGACACCTTCAGAGACGGCTTCAGGGGAGACAGGGAGACCTGTGGTTGGGAAGGAAGAGTGTCTGTTGGTGCGCGATCAGTGGCTACGGCGGAGACACCGGTTTCTGTCTCCTTATCCTCCTTCAGCGGAGGAGCAAGACGTTCATCTCCTTCAGGCTCTACCTTGGCTTCTTCCGGCTGCTGACTCTCACTCTCCCTGGCCTCGGCCGCGGGCTGGTTCTCATCGGCCTCTTCATCAGATTCCCACATTACGGTGGTTGAGGCAGTCGAACGGGAGGCTGCTGACCCTGCTGGAGACCCCGCGACATCGGCATCCGGCGATCGTGACGGAGATCTACCGTCTAAAAAAAGACGGAAAATGGTTTAACGCCTGAGTGGTACTTTTAAATA